ATCCTCTGAGGCTGTATGATACACACCATAAAATATAAACAAAATTATATACTTGGGGTTTAATGCATATTTGCTCATTACATGGGCATGAATATTAAATATGTTATTATGTTGCCTGGTGAGGTCTGCTTGATTCCTTATTTCTGTGGCTAATCTTTTGAAATAACTTGTATTTCTACTAAAACAGATCTCTTGTGGGAATGGTGTACAACTTTGACCTAAAACTGGGGGAGCAGAACCCTTCACATATCTGAACTTGACTGTAGGTGACAACCTCAAGTCAGCCTGACAGCAGGACCTTCTGGGGAATAGTTCAAGAGAGATGTGTGGGGATGAAGATGACCCAAACAAGTGTAATCTGTATTTAAAATAACAAGAATTAAAAGAGAGAAGACAGGAAAGTCCTCATACTTTGTTTATTAGAAATATAAGTGTCCTTTATTGCTCCCTGCCCCCTTATTAAAAACAAAACAAACATGAGACATAAAAGCAAAAGAAAGAAAACAACTAAATGGCCAGACCAAACAAAAGAAGAGGTATGAGTCTAAGATATTTTGGTGGAATCTAAGTTCTGTTTCCTGAAATAGTCTGTGCAAGGGGTTTCAGCTAACTTAAGAGTTCAGGTCTCTCCTATAGCAGAGTATGTAATTTTGTTAGAGGCAAATCCTGTGTCCTGGATGATAAATTCAGGGAGACTATCTTGCAAACTCTTCTCCTTTTCCTCCTTACTCCATTAGTGGGGTTTTGGCAAATAAATTCAAAATAGCCACAAAAAAGTGTTGCAGAGTCTGAAACTGATGGAACATTACAAATATGTCTGAACTTTTAAATCTCTACTATTACTAATGCATTTTGCAGTGTTACCCTGTGCACACAGACTGGCTTTGAACAGATGAAGACCTCACTCAGTTCAAGTCCATCCAGCCAAAAACTGTGCAGCAGTGCCCAGGAGCAGATGTTATGGGGGAGTTTAAGAAACAGGTGCTATGGAATGACTGTTTCCCAGCAGTTCTTTCTAAATGTGGGAAATCAGAAGAGGGATGTTTCTGAAACTGCCATGATCCACTGTTTAACTATTGACCTAGCCTCTATGAATTCACCTAGTGCCTCTTTGCTCCTCTGTAATTTTGTGCCCCACAGCATCCCAAGGCAAAACTTTACACAATATTCTAATGTAAAACGCCCTGTGATCTGACATCTTGTATAAGTTTCCTGAGTTCTTAGCTGATACGAAGTACTGAATGCTGGTTACCCATTTAACCTTCTCCTGTACCTTATAAAGACTTTATAAAGATCTGTACTTTATGAAGACTTTTCCTCTCTGTTTAAATGTTGAAGTACCATGTTCCAGTTTTGCTACATTGAAACTTGTTGTGTACCAGTTCTAAACCTGCTTCCTTTTCTGCTTTACTTTGTGCTTTCTGTGCTTCTACTTACCCATTTTGATGTGGGATTTCTGGCATTTAGGAATGTGTCATAATGAGATTTGTCAGATTGCTCTCTTTCCTAATAGCATTCCGAGCGCTATGGTTGGAGTGATGTTCTCTCTCTGAGCACTCAGAAGACAGCTTCCCAGAACTATCCACAGTGACCCTCTCATCCCTTTCCTGAGTGGCAACAGCTAATTCAGAGCTATTGACTCCCACCCCAGAACAAGCTACAGAGAAACAAACCTGGGAAAGTCCTGTCATTTACTGAAGCTGCTGATCCATATGAATGTTAATTGCAGTTGAGTCCGGTTGGGTCAGTACTAATTAATTATCACACAAGTACCACTAGAAACTGATGATACACTTCCTGAGAGTTTAATCCTTGTACACACAAAACTTCTAAGAATGGTTGAAACACTGAAGATCCTAATTTGTAGAAGAAACAGAAGAAAACAAAGACATTAATAGGGCTTAAACTTGGTTTGTTGCTGCTCACTGCCCTCTGTTAAACAAATAAAAAGATACCATTTTAAAAACAAGCAAACAAACCAACTAAATAACCATATTGAAGAGAAGAGGTGAGAGGGGAAGATATTTTTAAGAGTCTAAATTCTAGGGAGTAATATTAAGACTAACTTAACATGTAAATCTCATTAAGGGATATGAGACAACATAAATTATGAGCTTTGTCTGCTGCCTTCGTTTTTGCTTGCATCCAAAATTGTTATTTAGCATTTTTTTAAGCATATGAGTGGTTCTGACTTGATCTCATTGGGTCACTATAGTGGCTAAGAGCAGTGGCAGGAGTTATCACTTTGCTATGAGGGACAGCTACCAAGCAAAGCCTACACAGTAAAAATGCCATGAAGTTGAGAGATACTACAAATCTTTCACAATATCAGGAGATACTGAAATTTAGAAGCTCTGGTATTTATGTTGTATAGTTAAAAACCCTGAACCTCCAACTAATGCTGAACATGATTTCTATTTGTGTTTATAATCAACCAACATCCATCCCATCTGGAACATACTGCTCCAGATGCTCTCTAATCAAAAGGCATCAGTTTACCCTTTCTGCCACCCTGGGCATTGTTGCTACTGCAGACACCCTTTTATTTGTTAAAGGTACTAAAATATGCAGGCTTTGGTTTTTCACTCATTCTTCAGTTTACACCAAAACATCCTTTTTGTATGGAATAACAACATATCTGAAGATGCCAGTACATACACTAACATAGCCCTCGTGTAAACATAGGGTTTTGCTAATCTAGTACTTAAGTCTGGAAATGCTTGGGTTGGCATGTTTCCATGGTTAATACCTGCACGCATAAGGAGGCCTGGAAAAGCCTTCTGAAAGCCTATAACTGTGCACTGCTACCCAAACCCCCAAACAGTGCTCAGCTAGGGTTTTCCAACACCTAGCAAGCCAACTGGTGAGAATAGGGTTGCAACAGCAAGGCTCATATCCCTTGTGCAATGGAAAATTTGGAGAGGAACCAGTGCCTGCTTTCTTTCCTGAATTCTAGTAGAAGGTTGCAGAGATGCTTCTTCCCTCAGGCAAGCTACATCTCAAGGGTGAAACAGAGATGTAGAAACTGCAAGACAATAAAGCGTGATTAATTTCTGTCAGTGAATGCTGTGCTGCAACCCAGTTTCCAGGTGTTTTTAAGTGTAATCACTATCTTGCTCACATTCTTCTGGGAAGAGATCCATTTCAATTAGTGCAATCTCTCAGGTCTCTAATTTACTGCATAGGGGTGTGGACCAAGGGGGCTGTTTGCAGCTTAGCCTGAACAAGATTAGCCTGATGCTTTTGGGTTGAAGAAAGCAATTTTGGCAAATGTGCGTGAAATGTTTGCATTGCTTGTCCTCTGGGTTTTCTAATCATCTTGCAATTTTGGGGATGTTATCTACTCCTGACTTAAGACCTCGTGAACAAGTTCCTGCTTTGTGAGGAGCAGAGCAGATTGCACACTTTCAGCAGCAGTTCTCATAAAGAAAGCCCAGTTCTCCTCATTGTCAGGTTGTGCTCCACTTTGTTCCATTACTTAATGCATTTTAAGACAACAGGAATTTCTACATCCATGAAACCAACCCAGCACAGTTGCACAGGAAAATATGCTCTTTAATTTACACTGCACTTAAAGAAATAAGGTAGTTTTAATCTCCAGATTAGAGAAAATAAAGTAGTTTTAATCTCCAGAACTGTCCACTTTGACATGTAGCTAGGATGATGCTTAGGCATTGAGATAAAACTGGGATCTCCTGTATAGCCTACTATGTAGAGTTTCCTTATATATTCTATGTGGAACTACTTTATGTGCCTTTTTAGGCAGCAGAGTTGAAGATACAACATATTCACTGAGGCACTTCCACCTCAAGAACTTGACTTTTGTTGACCCCCCAAACCTGTTATTCAGCTGTTAGGATATTGTACAAAGTGAAGCTGTTTGCAGAATTAGGGAGTGCAATACATGAGAAATGGCTGAAAAGCTTATGTCTGGTCTATGGGAAGTGCCACTCATCCCACCTGCAGTTGCCTTGAACAAAACAGACATGTGCTCTGTAGCAGGAGCTACATGTTTGTGCCCAATAGCCTTAACACTGGTGAATAAAATCATTTGGTTTGTCGTCAATGGTGCTAAAATATAATGTGGCTATGCAGAAAACATTTTCTTAGTGTCTTCTTTCCAAATAAAAAGTTTTAACATGGATAAAGTATGCTTTGGGTTGGGCTGCAACTCTGCTTCCAGCTGTTTTGTAATTTTTTTTTTTTTGCAATTTTCCATCACTCTTCCAGCTCCACTACTCAGTCCTGATGAGGCCACATCTGGAGTAGGTTGTCCAGTTCCAGGCTGCTCAGCACAACAGAAACATGGAGCTCCTGGAACAGGTCCAGCAGAGGGCAACAAAGGTGATGAGGGAACTGGAGCATCTCTCTCACGCGGAAAGACTGAGAACTGAGCCTGTTCAGCCTTGAGAAGAGAGAGGCAACCGAGAGGGGAACTCGTCAATATGTATAAATATACAAAAAAGGTGGGTGCCAAGAGGAAGGAGCCAGGTTGTCCTCGGTGCTTGAGCAGGGAGGTTGGACCAGATCCAGCCAGAATCCTCTGGGTTAGACCAGACCCTTCCAACCCAGAGGATTCTGTAATTCCAGAGGCAGAAACAGCTTTTTCCTTGTATACTAATACTAATACTAATACTATCTCCTCGTTCCCCGCGGAGGACCGACCGTCTCCCTCCCGGACTCCAGCCACCGGCAGGTGAGGGCAGGTGGCGGCTCGGCGGGGCCGCGCTCGCTGCCGGGGCGCTGCGCGGCTCCGGTGCGGCGCGGGGCGTAGCGCGGCGCGATTGGCGACGAGGGCCGCGGCGGCGGCGGGCGGGGCGTCGCTGAGGGCGGCCCGAGGAGCCGCCGCCGCCCGCCCTTCCCGCCCTGCCCCGCCGCCCGTGCCCGGCCTTAAAGGCGCGCGGGGGCCGCGGCGGCGGCAGTAGCGCAGTGCGGGCGGCGGCGGTTGCTCCGTGGTACCTGGAGCGCGGGGGGGCCGTTCCCTCCGAGCGCCTCGCCTGGAGCCCCTCCCTGCCGCCTCCGCCGCGCTCCCGCCCCTCGGGCCGAGGCTGTCACCGCGCCCGCCGCCGGGCGCCGCCAGCATGTTTGACAGGACGCGGCTACCCTTCGTGGCGCTGGACGTGCTCTGCGTGCTGCTGGGTAGGTCGGGGGGCCGCGGAGGAGCGGGGGGAGCCGTCTCCGGGGCGCCGCGCTGCCCCCGTGCCGCACCGCGCTGATCGCATGCTCGCCTCCCCCTTCCCGCCGCGCCGGCACCGCCCGGAGCGGGCTCCTGCCGGCCGCAGCCCCGCCGTGCCTGCCGCCCCTCGCCCGCTCCCTCGCCTCCCGCTCCGCGCCGCACGCGGGGGTCTGGTCGCTGCCGTGGGCCGGGAGGGGAAGGGAAAGCCCCGGGCGGAGGGAGCTCCTGCAGCTTATCCACTGACATCTGAAGCTCCCTCTTCTCTCTGATGTCCTTACTCTCCTTCCCTAACCACCTCTGCTGGATGGAAACCGGTTGTGGCAAAAGCCAGTGCTGGAGAGGTAGCTGTCTGGTGATACCTGCACCCCGGGATGTGTTTGTTATCCCGGGTGGGTCGGGAAGCTGTCCTGGAAGGGGCCGTCATCACGGAAACACGCCTCATCCATCCAGGGTGCTGCAGGGGCACGACGGTGCTTGGCGGCAGGGCAGGGATTCAGCTCTGAGGCTGAGCTGAATGCGGTCTCGGTGTCACCGAGGCGCCGCTGTAGCTGTAGGCTGGAAGCGAAGTCGGGTGCTCATCAGAGCGCAGGGTCTGCGCCCTCCTGTCCGCTTGCAGCGGGGAGAGGTCGGGCCAGGAGCGGTGCCTCGGTGGTGGCCAGCGGTTGAACCAGCACAGCCACAGCGCACTGCCGCAGTGCTGCAATGCTTGTCCTGGCCAGCCCAAATATTAGCTTCCCAGTGTTGCTTTAGTCTATTTCAGTCTCTATTGCAACGATTTTATGTCTGCCAATTTGTATTAAGTCTCCTTTTATGTAATGAGACAGTGTAAAGAGCAATGATGTCAGTTACTGATCAGAGAAGGGGCAATTTCACTTCATAAAGAAGTGGCACCTCTCAGTACTGGGAGCCTGGGAAGTGTCTTTACTCTGGAGATGTACTTCTTGGTCTTAGGAAGTGCTGATTTTGGATGTTTGCTTCTTAAGCAAATAATGTCAATGCTTCAGTAATCTAAGCACTTTCTTGTCATGTTCACTGGATAGTGTTTAGGCCTAGCTCATGAGTTTCTGCTTGGCTGAATTTTTTGACTGATGTTTGTATCATCAGTATAAACATAGTGGCATTTTTCTTTTGCCGGATGCTTCAAATAGCAGTGGTACCTGTAGGTAAATGCCATTAAAAAGCAAAATGACAATGAATGATACATTGCTCTGAGGTAATGTTGCAGGAGAGAGAGCTTTCGCAAAATGTTAGTGTTTCCATGTAATCCACTGAGAGCAACCTTTATTAAGATCCGGAGTTTTATCAAACCCTGCTTTTGTGAGGATTAAGCTTTCATGCTGTCTTTATGATGAGTGAAGCAGTTTTATCTGTCTGGATAACTGTCATTACAAAATCTTTGTAATTAGACAAAATTTTTGCACTACGCATATGCGAATGTTCTGCATTAAGCATATGGGTATATTGTAAGTAATCTTGAGTAATCAAGGAAAGCAAAATATATTGAAAGTATTGAAAGTTATATGTAGAAGCATATAACTTGATAGCCATCCACCTGAAAGGATGAGGGTTTCCCTGTCCCAAGTCATTACCTGGGAAAGTAGGTTCTTGACCTTGCCCTGCAGTGTAATATCAGTTTACACACCTTTCCCTTCTCTCCCCCTCACCCTGTGTAGCATTTGGATCACAGACACACTTATCTGGTGCCTCAGTGTGCTGGAAAGTTGCCAGACTTTTTCTTTTCCCTTGGGCTTGTTTACTTCCTGAAAAGTCTGAAAAATGCAGGCAGTGCATAATATGAAGTTCCCTGACACCTGCAACTTTAAACACATTGAGTTACAGGTTTCAGTGAAACTGTAGCTGAGATAAAAAGATTTTCCATTTGCAGAAAGATGGGAAAGATACTGGATGTAGGACCAAGTTCTCTTCCTCTTCTGCCTTACTCTCATGTGGCTGAGACAGGGCCCGAGAAGAACATAGGTCTTACCTGTATCTAGTGGGCTGTTTAATTTTTTTACTGTTAAAAAAATAGTTCCTGTTGATTGTGGACTTTAACTCTCACTTCTTCCCTGGCCCATCCCCCTGCCTGTGCACTTTGGTATCTGCTCAAATGACTGAGGTAACTGCCCAGATAAAGTGACTTGCTGGTATGGATAAATGATACCTAGTATCTCCACTGCAGAGACTACAAGGTCTCTAACAGAACTGAAGGTTTAAAAACTAGGAAGACCAGTTTCAGCTGGGGACTGAGCCTTCAGTCTTGGTGTGGTAGCCCATGCTACCACAAAAAAGGGTACCAGGAGCATCCTCAGAATCCCCAGGATAACTCTTGCCACTTAATACAGAGCTTTTATTTTTTCTCCTCTTTTTTCCTGTTTATATCTTCTCCAAAGTAAGTGTAGATGGTGAAGAAGAATTAAGTTAATTATCTCATTAATGTTGGACTTGGAGCCCTAGTGATATCCAAGCATCCCACTTGAAGTTGCAGTGATCTGACACACCCATGAACTCACTGCAGTGGAAGTGCATGATTCTGACTGTGTGTCTGACTTATTCGCTCCTGGTTTAGTCAAACCATTTTGGTGTGGTTTCAACTTTCCCAGCATAAGTTCTCCAAAAGAAAGGGAAGGAAAAAAAGACCTATCCTGTGATTTTTGTGTATGTGATTTAGATAGATTTATTAAAAGATGTGACATGCTTAAGATGGAGCTGAGGTAAGAGAATAAGAAAGACATCAAAGAAGAGGATGGAGAGAGAGAAGAGGTGGGGAGAGGGGGGAAAAAGTAGGACTTAAAAACATCTTAAAATTAGCCCAATTTGGTTGCCTGAAACTTGCATCTAATTTTTTTTAATTACCCTTAAGAAAGATCTCTCCCTCATCTGCCTTTTTACCCACTAAAGGAGAGAGAATTCAGGGAAAGCTGTCTTTAGTGCCCTGAGAAAACAATTCCTTCCCTCTTATCAGCATGATAAGTTTCTTCATCTAAAAACACTGGTGTTTCAGCATTAAATTAGCTTTGTATTCTGCAATCTAAAAAAAACAAAAGGTGCAGGTTTCTGCAGTATCTGTCCTCAAATAGTGTGAGGAGGCTGTGTCTGCATTCCGTGTGTGCTGATCTGCAGTGCTGGGGGTGTGTGTGTGCTGCATGTCCGCATGCAGCTCTGCAGTGCTGCAGGCAGCACCTCCCTTACTCCCCACGCTCCAGTGGATAGTGCTCAGGTGCTTCTGGCACTGGAAAGCATGAGTGGCTTGATCTGCAGGATTTCTTTCTCCCTCATAGTTCTGTTACTTGACTCCTAGGTTTTCTGATAGACATTTTATATAGCATAGAGTTTGGCATTCTAGACAGTAGTAAAACCGTTTTTCACAGATAGATACTGAGGTTGGTTCTTATGGTTTATTACACTTCCAAACTGTCATGCAAAAAATGACATCTTATTAGATTAGCTTAATTAGCTTGCTACTGGTATTTTCAGTAGGCACTATATATATACACATATATACACTGTGCCACTCTTACAGGTTTATTGTTGGTTTGATTGCAGATCAGGTTCCTTTCATTAAGGCAGGTAAACAACACTTAAAGTACAAAGTTGGGAAATACATGGCAATATTCCTGCAATCAGTGGAAGAACTGCTAAATACATTTATCTTTAGATCAGACTCTCACAAAGACAAAGATTAAAGGAAACTCTGCAGAGGTGACCAGAGCAATAAGGAAAACACTTTCTGTCACAACTCTGGGATGACTTTCTGGTCTGTACTTGTTGGAATTCATGCCTAACTTAAGTGCTGGGGTGCAATACAGCACAATTGTATTTCTTCAGTCCCTTGTCTGTGCAATTACTGACAAGCTTATTACTTAAAATAATAAGTAATTGGGGAGTGTACTTGTCAATATGGGATTGCTGATGTAATGCAAGAATATGTCCAACCCAAGATTAGAAAAACTGAAGCCTTCTAAAGAATTAAACCCTTGTTGCCCTGTTCACTTTTCTGCAATATATTTGAAATAGTAAATAATTATTTAAACTTAAAACTGCTGTGGAATATAGTTATGTTTGTGTGGGTATTTATTATTTTTTCTTCCTCTCCATGTCCTACCCTGTGACTGTGGGAAGGTGAGACTATGGCAGTCTTATTTATACATGATGATGATTATTATTTTCTTTCATGAAACTACTTCTGAGTAAGAGAAGGACTTACAGTCCTTCCAAACAGAAGGACATGTGAACTGAATCCAGAAATAGTAAACACTCACATTGCTTTCAGCTTGTTGTTTAAAGACTGCTGGAATGTTTTGTGATACATGACAACGTGCAAACAGCAGATGCGTGTGTACAGGACACAGTGAATTTGCTTTTGCAGGGTGTGACCTGTGGGGGTAGGATGGCTGGACCACCCTGCACAGTATTTTGCATTCAGTGCTATTCTTCTCTCCTGGGAGTGTTTACTTCTGCTGCTGCTGAAGGCTGCAGTCTCGGTGACAATTAAAGTATTGCTGTGCAGTCATGGAAGGTTCCTTCTATGTGGGTTAGCACTTCCCAGTTGCCCTAGTTCAAATAAAACCTCCTCCGGTATTATTTGTGACTCACTGACATATGTGTCACCGTTTTTATTTTCCACATCATGTGGGTGCTCAATACTTTTTCTAGTGCATGAATACATTGTAAAGCTGTAACAGGCACATGTGAAAGAGCAGTTTGCCTTCCTTGACACTATCCACCAGATACCGTGACATGGTACTTATTAAGTTGACACTCTCAGTTTTTTGGAAACATACTTGTTACCTGAAACTGGGAAAATCTTTCCTCTCCTAATTCTTTCTTCTTTGCAACAGTCATTTTTTATTTTCTGCAACTTAAAGAAAGATGCTTTACCAGAGACTTGCCCCCTCTAGATCAGAAGCCTGCAGAAAAACTTTAGGTAAGAGATCAATTAGTTAATGAACACTATTCAAAGTCT